CTGAAAGCAGCTCAGGACAAGAGGTCTGTAACATACAATGGTAGACATATTAGATGGACAAAAGACCTATACACAGAGACCTGGCAGGCCAGAAAGGACTGGCATAATATATTTAGAGCATTAAATGAGAGAAATATGCAGCCAAGAATGCTATATCCAGCTAGGTTATCATTGAAAATAGAAGGAGAGATAAAAAGCTTGCAAGACAAATAAAAATTAAAAGAATTTGCAAACACCAAACCTCCCTACAGGAAATATTAAAAGGGTCCTCTAAGCAAAGACAAAGGCTAAAAGTAACAGACCAGAAAGGAACAAAGACAATATACAGTAACAGTCACCTTACAGGCAATACAATGGCACTAAATTCGTATCTTTCAATAGTTACCCTGAATGTAAATGGGCTAAATGTCCCAATCAAAAGACACAGGATATTAGAATGGATTAAAAAAAAAAAAAAAAAGACCTACTGATATGCTGTCTGCAAGAGACTCATTTTATACCCAAATACACCTCCAGATTTATAGTGAAGGGGTGGAAAACAATTTACCATGCTAACGGATATCAAAAGAAACCTGGGGTGGCAATCCTTATTTCAGATAAATTAGATTTTAAGCTAAAGACTATAATAAGAGATGAGGAAAGACACTATATCACACTTAAAGGGTCTGTCCAACAAGAACATCTAACAATTTTAAATATCTATGCCCCTAACATGGGAGCAGCCAATTATATAAACCAATTAATAACAAAATCAAAGAAACACATCAACAATAAGACAATAATAGTAGTAGGGATCTTTAACAACTCCCTTACTGAAATGGATAGATCATCTAAGCAAAAAATCAACAAGGAAATAAAGGCTTTAAATGACACACTGGACCAGATGGACATCACAGATATATTCAGAACATTCTATCCCAAACAACAGAATACACATTCCTCCCTAGTGCACATGGAACATTCTCCAGAATAGATCACATCCTGGGTCACAAATCAAGTCTCAACCAGTACCAAAAGACTGGGATCATTCCCTGCATATTTTCAGACCACAATGCTCTGAAACTAGAACTCAATCACGAGAGGAAAGTTGGAAAGAACTCAAGTACATGGAGGCTAAAGAGCATCCTACTAAAGAATGATCCACCAAGAAATTAGAGTGGATTGGTTGATCCACCAAGAAATTAGAGAAGAATTTAAAAAATTCATGGAAACTAATGAAAATGAAAACACAACTATTCAAAATCATTGGGACACAAAAAAGTGGTCCTGAGAGGAAAGTATAGAGCAATATAAGCCTTTCTCAAGAAACAAGAAAGGTCTCAAATACACAACCTAACCCTACCCCTAAAGGAGCTGGAGAAGGAACAGCAAGGAAAGCCTAAATCCAGGAGGAGAAGAGAAATAATAAAGATCAGAGCAGAAATCAATGAAACAAACCAAAAGAACAGTAGAACAGATCAATGAAACTAGGAGCTGGTTCTTTGAAAGAATTATTAAGATTGATAAACCTCTGGCCAGGCTTATCAAAAAGAAGAGAGAAAGGACCCAAATAAATAAAATCATGAATGAAAAAGGAGAGATCACAACCAACACCAAAAAAATACAAACAATTACAAGAGCATATTATGAGCAACTATACACCAGCAAATATGACAACCTGGAAGAAATGGATGCATTCCTAGAGATGTATAAACTACCAAAATTGAACCAGGAAGAAATAGAAAACTGGAACAGACCCATAAACGGAAAGGATATTGAAGCAGTCATCAAAAATCTCCCAACAAACAAGAGCCCAGGGCCAGATGGCTTCCCAGGGGAATTCGACCAAACATTTAAAGAAGAATAAATACCTATTCTCCTAAAACTGTTCCAAAAAATAGAAATGGAAGGAAAACTTCCAAACTCATTTTATGAGACCAGCATTACCTTGATCCCAAAACCAGGCAAAGACCCCACCAAAAAGGAGAATTACAGACCAATATCCTTGATGAACATGGATGCGAAAATTCTCACCAAAATACTAGCCAATAGGATCCAACAGTATATTAAAAGGATTATTCACCATGACCAAGTGGGATTTATTCCTGGGCTGCAAGGTTGGTTCAATATCTGCAAGTCAATCAATGTGATACAATACATTAATAAAAGAAAGAACACGAACCATATGATACTCTCAATAGATGCTGAAAAAGCATTTGACAAAGTACAGCATTCTTTTTTGATGAAAGTTCTTCAGTGTAGGCATAGAGAGTACATACCTCAATATCATCAAAGCTATCTATGAAAAACCCACAGTGAATATCATTCTCAATGGGGGAAAAACTGAGAGCTTTTCCCCTAAGGTCAGGAACATGGCAGGGCTGTCCATAATCACCACTGCTATTCAACATAGTATTAGACGTCCTATCCTCAGCAATCAGACAACAAAAAGAAATTAAAGGCATCCGAATCAGCAAAGAAGAAGTCAAATTATCACTCTTCGCAGATGATATGATACTCTATGTGGAAAACCCAAAAGACTCCACTCCAAAACTGCTAGAAATCATACAGGAATTCGGTAAAGTGTCAAGATATAAAATCAATGCACAGAAATCAGTTGCATTTCTAGACACCAACAGCAAGACAGAAGAAAGAAAAATTAAGGAGTCGATCCCATTTATACCCAAAACCAGAAGATACCTAAGAATAAACCTAACCAAAGAGGCAAAGAATCTGTACTCAGAAAACTATAAAGTACTCATGAAAGAAATTGAGGAAAACCCAAAGAAAAGGGAAAACCTTCCATGCTTATGGATTGGAAGAACAAATACTGTGAAAAATGTCTGTGCTACCTAAAGCAATCTACACATGTAACACAATCCCTATCAAAGCACCATCAATTTTTTTTAAGGAAATGTAACAAATAATCCTAAAATTTATATGGACTGGATAAGACCCCAAATAGCCAGAGAAATGTTGAAAAAGAAAACCAAAGTGGCACAATCACAATTCCAGACTTCAAGCTCTATTATGAAGCTGTAATCATCAAGAGAGTATGGTACTGACACAAAATCAAACACATAGATCAATGGAACAGAATAGAGAGCCCAGAAATAGACCCTCAACTCTATGGTCAACTAATCTTTGACAAAGCAGGAAGGAATGTCCAATGGAAAAAAGACAATCTCTTCAACAAATGGTGTTGGGAAAATTGGACAGCCACATGCAGAAGAATGAAACTGGACCATTTCCTTATACCACACACAAAAATAGACTCAAAATGGATGAAAGACCTCAATGTGAGACAGGAATCCATCAAAATCCTTGAGGAGAATATAGGCAACAACCTCTTCGACCTCAGTCACAGTAACTTCTTCCTAGAAACATCACCAAAGGCAAGGGAAGCAAGGGCAAAAATGAACTATTGGGACTTTATCAAGATCAAACGCTTTTGCACAGCAAAGGAAACAGTCAACAAAATCAAAAGACAACTGACAGAATGGGAGAAGATATTCACAAATGACATATCAAGATAAAGGGCTAGTATCCAAAATCTATAAAGAACTTATCAAACTCAACACCCAAAGAACAAATAATCTAATCAAGAAGTGGGCAGAAGACATGAACAGACATTTCTGCCAAGAAGACATCCACATGGCCAACAGACACATGAAAAAGTGCTCCATATCACTCGGCATCAGGAAAATACAAATCAAAATTACAATGAGATACCACCTCACACCAGTCAGAATGGCTAAAATTAACAAGTCAGGAAACGACAGATGCTGGTGAGGATGTGGAGAAAGGGGAACCCTCCTACACTGTTGGTAGGAATGGAAGCTGGTACAGCTACCCTGGAAAACGGTATGGAGTTTCCTCAAAAAGTTTAAAATAAAGCTACCCTACGACCTAGCAATCACACTACTGGGTATTTACTCTAAAGATACAAATGTAGTGATCTGAAGGGGCACGTGCACTTGAATGCTTACAGTAGAAATGTCCACAATAGCCAAACTATGGAAGGAACCTAGATGTCCATCAACAGATGAATGGATAAAGATGTAACATATATCTTCAATGGAATACTAAGCAGCCATCAAAAGAAACAAAAACTTGACATTTGCAACAATGTGGATGGAACTAGAGGGTATTATGCTAAGCAAAATAAGTCAATCAGAGAAAGACAATTATCATATGATCTCCATCATATGAGGAATTTAAGAGGCAGGGCAGGGGGTCGTGGGGGTAGGGAGGGAAAAAATGAAACAAGATGGGATCAAGAGGGAGACAAAACTCTTAATCTCATGAAACAAACTGAGGGTTGCTATGGGGTAAGAGGTAGGGATAGAGTGGCTGGGTTATGGACCTTGGGGAGGGCATGTGCTATGGTGAGTGCTGTGAAATGTATAAGCCTAGTGATTCACAGACCTTTACTTCTGGAGCAAATAATACATTATATGTTAATTAAAAAAAATAAAATAAATCCCCTAAAGTTGTATTTTGTCGTTCAGAAGAGGATTTGTCATTCTCAGGATACATCCAGAAGTCCCATTTTCTAAAAAAAATTAACATGTTTTTAAAAATTTATAAAACATACTTTGTGTTTACTGTAGAACAAAATCACAGCAGATTACAAGTAACATAATTCCATGGATACATTTTCTATTGCAATCAATTATTATTAGTATTGATTCATAAATTTCCACTGAAGAGGAGCTTCACACATTAAAGTCAAAATTCATGGTTACTGAAAACTGTTTCTTAATTATTCAGTAAAGAGCTCAGTGAGGTGGTATTTTCATCATGTTTCAACCTTATAAAAATTTAAAGTCATTGTTCAGGAAAATTATCTTGGAGGAAAGAGAACCCTTATTCAACAAATGGTCAATCTAAACATTTGCGGATTGACTATGTTCCAACCACATAATAACTATGAAAACAATAAATCAGAAGTATAATAACCCCTAATAAAAATAAAAATGTAGTGGCAGAAATCTACATAATTCAAGTAGTGTTATCACCTGGATATGTCTTCTAACTGCAGATCAACGTCTTGAAGTTTCTTTTGATAATTCTCTGTAAAGTTACAGAACTCATGAAGAATTGAAGATTTCAAATCAGGGTACGGGCATTCCAAAGTTTCTAATTCCACAGGCAGTTCACTAGGCAGGTTACTTCTTTCTTCTGAAGAATAATCTAGTATCTGAAAAAAAATTATATGATTGTTGTACTTAACATAAATGACAAATTGATAAACAAATTACTATACACATGACACTTACCTTCATACTCCAGTCTGAAAGATAATTTTCTATTTTCTGTTGCTCCAGACTAAGACTTTCGAAGACAGCTTTCAATTGTTTCTTCACGAAGTCAATCTAGAGGATATAGATAAGAGAAGGTCTCTTTGAGGACCTGTGGAAAAGGGTTCAAGAAATGCCATAGCCAGATAGTGCTTATCAGAGAGGACCTCTAGACACATATCCTAAAAATGGGCCTAGGAAGTACAGTGGGGTCATAGCCACTCTGCATTCTCATTTGGATTTTGTTTGTGTTAAGACAGAGAGCTTACCAGATTGTCTCTGGTTTAATCACCCCCTTCCTCCCTTTGCATCCTTGCCTCCAATCCCCAGCTGGACATGCATTTTTGTTTTAAGATTTTATTTATTTATTTATTTATCAGAGAGAGAGAGAGAGAGAAAGCATAAACATAACCTGAGCCAAAGGCAGACGCTTAATCGATTGAGCCACCCAGGCTCCCCTTATCTATTTTTTTATTAGTCTATTGACTACCTCCCCTGACTAGAGCATAAGCTTCACAGTCATAATGGCACTAGATGTATGCTTTTAGATGATTTTTCTTACCATTTTTCAGTTATTCTGTAGTGTTATTTTGCTTTCATAAATAATATATATATTTAAAGGCATTGAAAATCCCTTGCCTAGGGACTCCTGGATGGCTCAGTGGGTTAAGCATCTGCCTTCAGCTCAGTTCACGGGATCGAGTCCTGTATCAGGCTCCTTGCTCAGCCGGAAGTCTGCTTCTCCCTCTCCCTGTGCTCCTCCCTGCCCCGCTCATGCGCACTCACTCTTTCTCTTTCTCTCTCACTTTCAAATAAATAAGTAAAATCTTTTTTAAAAAAATAGATAAGATGATTATCAAGAGGAGATAAGTGACATAAAAACAGGGTAATATAATAGAGAATAACTGTAGCTTCTCTCATGTGGATGATTGGGACAGGCCTCTCAGGGGAAAAGACACTTAAGCTAAGACCTAAGTGACAAAAAGTGGCATCAGTGGGACAGAGAAAACAGGTGATGCAAAGGCTTTGAGATGAGGAGTCTGGCACCTCTGAGGAATAGATGGGAGGTCAGCCTCAGTGTGACAAGGTCTAGGAAAAAGGGGAGTGTCAGGCAAGAGATGAGGTTTAAGAGGAGAGAAGCCAGGATGTATCAGGAGGAATTACGGGCCTTGAGGGGATCTATCAGGGGGATGACTTGATCTCCCTCCACCTAAGGTAGAATACCAAAACGTACTGTGAAGAGTGGCAAGAATGAGTGCAGGGAGACTTGTCATGAGGTCATTGTAACTTTTCAGGACAGAAATAAGCATGCTTGGACAGATTCAGGGATATGTTTAAGATACTGAAGAGACACAATCTGCTATACCTTGTATTTTTTTTAATTTTTATTTTTTAAAAGATTTTATTTATTTATTTGACAGAGAGAGAGAGAGAGAGAGAGAGAGACAGCAAGAGAGGGGATATAAGCAAAGGGAGTGGGAGAGGGAGAAGCAGGCTTCCCGCAGAGCAGGGAGGCTAATGCGGGACTTGATCCCAGGACCCTGGGATCATGCCCTGAGCTGAAGGTAGAGGCTTAAGGACTGAGCCACCCAGGTGCCCCTACCTTCTATTTAAATACAAGGCACACATTTATTTCCTATGTCAAACTGTTCTAGTTGGAACAAAAATGAAATATTATATTATTAGAAGTAATGGTAATATACTGACCTCTTCCAGTACTTTCACCGAGTTAAGCTCAATATGTGAGCATGAATGCTGTGAAATGTGATGCTGTCTGTATTTTAGATCTGCTCTCAATTGCTGAATAGGACTTATCACATTCTTAAGATATGTGCACCATTGTTCTGATAACTCTTGTTCTATGAAGAAACAAAATTACATCCAGGTAACCCCTTATTATTTTAAGTTCCTTCAAGAACCGGTCATTACAATGCAGATTTAGCTTTGAATTCCTTCAGAAAAAAACAAGCAGTTAATAGGAAGAGAACCTATGGTGAGTGGCCCACTTTCATCTTCAAAATGAATCTCCCCTTTAAACATAGGATCAAAAAGGAAAACAACTCACCAAAATTTAGAAGGTCAGAAAGACATTCATTTCCAATGTTTTCCTCACTGAGAAAGGATTTTATTTCAGATTCCACTTTACATCTGAAATAGACATTATCTCCATCAGTTTTTTTAAATAATCATAAACATACATAGATTTTAAAATTCACCTGTTCATTTATTCAGACCATACACTAAATTCCTAGCATGGGTTGGACACTTGCTAGACATAGAGATAGAAGCGTAAGTGAACACCCCAAGTAGAAGTAACAGCATGAGCATAAAGGCAAGCGCATGGCACATCCTAGCATTGCTTTGTGTGGAAAGAGCTTAGGGCAGTAGGAAGCCACTGAGGGATATTCAGCTGACCTCACCTGCCAAGCAGATCTGTGTTTCGGAAAGATTCCCAAGGCAGCAAAACGGGGTGTGGGCTGGGAGGAGGAATGGTCAATAAAAACAGAAAATGAAGAGGGAGGGGATCAGGTAAACCTGGACCAACATGGAAGTTATTTCAAAAGTTAAGAGATCATGAGGTCCTGAAATAGGGAAATGGGAGTACAAGTAGGATTTAATTACTAATAAAAGTAATACATCTTAATGACTTTTTATCATATTACTTAAATATAGTCATTTTTAGAATAAAACCATAACCAGCTCTAAATGGACATCCAAAAACATTGTAGTCTATCCCATGCTTATGGCAGATTTAATGAAATCATAGAAAAGAGTTTTGATTATCATTTATCAACATCTGAAATGATATCAAATAAGAAAATAGCATCAATTACTTTAATACAATGATTATTTTTATTTTTGCATATAAGTTTCCAGTCCCTGTCTACATGCATATATATTTTAAATAACTATACTTATGACATATTTACCATTTTATATTGGAATTTTTCAATAACATTTTAAGATATTTCTAGGGGCACCTAGGTAGCTCAGTCATTAAGCATCTGGCTTCCACTCAGTCATGATCTCAGTGTCCTAGGATTGAGCCCCACATCAGGCTCCCTGCTCAGCCAGAGGCCTGCTTCTCCCTCTCCCCCCCCCCCCCCGCTTGTGTTCCCTCTCTTGCTATCTCTCTCTCTCTCTCTGTGTCAAATAAATACATAAAATCTTTCTAAAAAGATACTTCTAAGTAATTCTCACAATTGCCATTTATTTTAATGGCCTCATAGTATTCTATTTTATATATGTGCCACCATCTTCTAAGCCAACTTACTTACATGGACAGAGGTTTTATTTGTATCTATAATGGAGGGATTTGGGGTACCTGGGTGGCTCAGTGGGTTAAGCCTCTGCCTTCAGCCCAGGTCATGATCTCAGGGTCCTGGGATAAAGCCCCACATCGGGCTCCCTGCTCAGCAGGGGGCCTGCTTCCCCCTCCCCCTCTGCCTGCCTCTCTGCCTACTTGTGATCTCTCTCTCTCTCTGTGTCAAATAAATAAATAAATAAATAAAATCTAAAAAAATTAGTGATTAAAAAAAAATATATATATATATATAATGGAGGGATACTACTGTAGATGATACTTCATTGTCTACTTTTTTAACATGTAGTTTTTGCCAGAAATATATTTGAAACTGTTACATGAAGGATGGTTGCATAATTGTGGAATAAAAACAAAAATTATTTCATGGTGGATTTGTTTAAACAAAAACATAGCACTTATCAACCATCTAGCTCAACTCCCTTAAGTTTTCAGCACCCAGAAAATCACAGTAAAACATACAAGCCAATAGGAGAATTGACTTTGTTCATCCAGGAGACCAACCTGCTACTTATATGTAATAATTCTAGTAAGTTCCATCTTGGTTTCCTAGGTTAACAACCTAACCCATCTGCCAAGATCAGGCTTTTTCTCTGACAGTCCTGATTGCCCAGCAAAATTCAAAAGCATTTTTTTAAGTCCTCAAGAACTACGAGACTCTGAAACTAGCTTGTGAATATAAGCTAACATTTCCCGAATTGTGTTCTATAAAATAATACTGTCAATGAGATGCTGGGATTGGGGGGAATGGGAAATAGTAAACTAAACAAAATTTAATATGTTTCAGCTTATCATATGTTTCAGCACAGGATTTCTCAAAAACTTGATTATGCTAAAGTGCATTGAGGTGATTTTCTTGAGGTGATTGAGAAATCGATTTTCTAATTTATAGGAACATGAAATTCATTATTCTCAATGGAGTATCTCAAAGAATATTTCTGTTTTGTAGAATTTGATTTAGCAAATATAAAAATTGTGGTTGGGGGCTCCTGGGTGGTTCAGCCAATAAAGCATCTGACTCTTTAGCCTTAGGTCATAATCTCAGGGTTGTGGGAATGAGACCTGCATAGGGCTCCATGCTCAGTGTAGAGTCTGCTTAAGACTCTCCCTCTCTACTTCTGGCCCTCCCCACCCCCAACTAAAGTCAATCAATCAGTCTATCTATCTATCTTTTAAAAAAAATTCTGGTGGATTCAAAAGCATTAAAAATTGTAACTCTGGAGAAGAGAACCCTGCCCTATTCATCACTGACTTGCTAAACCAGGTCTCAGGTGTTTTCCAAGGTGGAGCTCTACAGCACATACAATGTCTTCCCCTCTGAAGAGTGAGCAAATGTAAGGCAGCTTTCTGTGCCCAAATCTGGCAATTTAAGTACCTCCTAATGCTATTTGGCCTATCCTCTGTTACCAGTGAATCTGACAGCACTACAAAAAAGTCTCCTGAGTTTTTGCCTAGATGATATGTTCATCTACTTCCTAGATCTGCCTAGTTGCAATGCAACCACCTGCAAGGTAAACCAGCCTGGTGATGGGTGTTATTGAACTCTCGGGAGTCTACTGCAATACAGGTCCTCATCCTTCCAGGATGGTGCCAAAGTTCTAGGTATAAAATCAGTCTCCTCAGAACATCAAACATCGCCAGAGCTTCCTGAGATTTCTAGGGTAATCACTTGGTTACCAATTTGGGTAGAACAAACAAAACATGGGGTACAAGAATGGTAGAGACAGAAGCCATAAGCAAACAATAAGCAAAGGGACACGGATCATGAAAGGCAGAGCAAGAGAATATGATAAAGTTTCATTAATGAAACTAACAGCCAGGAGACCTGCAGAAAATTAGGGTACCAGAGCAGGCTGAAGGTCAAAGCTCTGTCCCTCCCTCAGGGAAGGAACTTAGCAGGTCAGGCAGCTTGGTTCCTTACACTCAGCTATTTGATCCACTTCTCACCTGAGTTTGTCCCAAGTGAGCATACCACAGAGGCAGAGAAGGGAGTCTCAGAACCAATGGCTGGGGAAGGCACTGAGGAGCCCCTGGGCTTAGAGAGTTCTTTGAGGCTCTGAGTTGCACAGTATGAATACCGGTGTCAATTTTCTCTTTAAAGATATATTTATAGACATTTAATTGTTGTTGGTAAAACCCCATGATATCCTCCGTAAAAAGGAGACATTTTTAAAATAATATTTTAAGATTAAAACTGCAAAAAAAGAAGAAAGAAAATAAAACTAAAACTGTGAGCAAGACACTACATGTATTTCTAAGGGATTTGGTTATAAAACATCTCTTGTAGGAATTATCATACAAGTAGTAAAGTATACAAATGAACACTCCAAATTTTATGATTCAACAATTCTGACTAAAACAAAAATTGTAATTCTTTACCACATGGTCAATATAAATAACTCCCTCCTTAACTCTAAACCAGTCATTCTGAAACAAGGAAGCAAGTGCCTCTGAGAAAGTATATCGAGGTCTCTAAGAGGTATAGTTTGGGAAAGCACATTAAATACTAAATGTAATTTTATAAGTTTAAGTGTGAAATTTTATAAATTTAAATTTTATATATTTTAAATATTATATTTAAAAACTATATATTTAGAAATTTTGTATGTCTAGTTTCCTTAGGACAGATTTCAAAGAATTAAAATTTGGCCAAAAAAAAATTTTTTTTGCTAGCAAGATTAGACCAATTCAATCATCAGGTGGTATGAATGGAACCCTGTGGGGGAGATAAGCTTCTGAACTCCAACTTCCTGGAGCACAGGAGTTAAAGGCAAGTGCTCCAATGCCATCTTCACATAAACAAGCTGATTTGCCTTCTGTGAAAAACTTTGATCCTCTGAAACTCAAGATTGTCACCTGTAAAGTGGGGACGCAAAGATACCTACTCTGTAGGGTGGTCATAAGGACTTAATGAAATAAAGCATATAAATTATTTACCATATTACCTGGCACATACTAAATAACCCAACAAAAGTTCAATGTCATTGTAGTCACCCACCTTCTGTGGGCCTGAGAGTCTCAAACGCACTCTCCTATGGTGAGGCATAAAAATATTTTATTTTTAATCTTTTATTAAAAAGGAGTATAGGTTTTTAAAGGTTGGAGCTCACACTCCTGACTTTCTGGTGGTCCCTAAATTCTCCACAAATCAAACCACTTCTCTAACTTTCCTCCTTTCACTCTTAGTTTTTATTTCACTGAAAACATATTGAAATGAGTCTGCTTTCTAGAATAACACAGAAAATTATCTTAGAATTCTTCCTTTTGTTCTGTTTTTAGCACTTACAAGTTTCAACACATTAAGGCTATTCCTTGAATGCTCCTCCCTTCCATTGCCTTTGTGTCATTCCAGGTCAACAAAAAGAACCATTTTCCATAATGATATGTATATGCCTCTTCTATCTAGCTCTAGAACAGCTAATGCACACATTTAGAAGCATGTGGAACAGCCAAGATAAAAACTTTCACCAGTGTCTTCCTTTACCTTTGAGCTTACATCAGTGAGCGCTGTAATAAAAATTTTCTAACGGCTTTTCTTTCTACCAAGTTATGCAAATTTAAAAAAAAATTTCTAATGGGCTCAAACATCCTCTCCATAAACGGTGACTTTTTGAGACATATAATGGGACTGATTTGTTTTTATGTCAGCAGCATGGTGATGGAGTCTAATAATTTTGTTTTTATATGTTTTAAGTTATACAATGTTGTAAAACCATTTCCAATCATGAGCCTTTTAGTTCAGTTCAGAATCTCTTGCCGGAATAAGAAACTCCTACTAATTTGAAAAGTACCTACAAAAGTACCTATCAAAAGTAAAGTTAATGACCTTTGGGTTTGACTTAGAATAAGACCATAAAACAACCTATTTTAATATAAAATATATGATTAAAAATATACATTTTAAAAAGCATACTTTATAAATACCACCATCATTAAAACTAGTATACATGTTTCATACGGAGGGAAAACATATCTGCCTTCTCCTTCTGCCCTGACCTTTGAAAGAAATGTATTTTTCAAGGATTACAATTAAGAACAAGGATAGAATCATTATTTTGTTGCTTCATCTTGAAACAAGTGCTAGAAATACTAACAAAAGTAAAAAATGCAAATTGACTTAGTCATGATGCAGCTACATCTAGAAATCAGTGAACAACTTGAACCCCTTAGTTCATTTTTTATTCATTTATTGAAATCTTTTCTGTCTCCTCCTATGAATCCTACAACAAAAAGATAAAACTGATGGTATGTTTGCCCTTGTTTGGCACTTCATAGGGAAGACAAACATGTAAACAAGATATTATAATTCAATGTGCTAAGGGCAATATGAATAATTACAAGTATGAGAGGGAATGTAAAAGAATAAATGATCAGCAGATATAGAAGATGATCTTTTTTTCCCGAAGGAAAGCAAAAACCATATTAATGTATTCACTGGATTTCAAATTAAATTGAGGAAATGAAGAAATTTTAATTTAACTCACAATCAAACTGTAACTTTAACTCTTTTTAATGGTTCAATTAACATGGAAAGTTATGGAACTTCTAACTAAGTGCAACTCTTAGCAAGTCTCACATGTTCTTGTAGAGATTTCCCTCAGTTCTTACCTGACATCAGTTAGCCGTTGGTGTTCCTGCCACCACACTTGCTTGTGTTGTTTTAGTAGTGTTTGTTCCTTAGATATCTTTGAAGTCTCCACTGCTTTCCTGATCTAGATTTAGAAGAACAAAAAAGGAGCAATTCCAATGTTTTCTAAGTGTGTTTTCCACAAGGAAATTGTTTAATTTGTCATTTCTAAGTTAAATATTTATTCTTTTTCAATTCTATTAGTGCATTCTCTAACACAAAATCCACCTTAAAATAAGTAATTCATTAAACAAAATGCAGGACAGTGAAAGAGAAAATGGTTTGGAATACTGTCCAAGTCAAGAATTGTCTTTAAAGTAGTTATGAAAAGAAAGATGATGTAATTCTATTTTCCTTACATACAGTGAAAAACACCTTAATTCACACAGTCTCGGGAAAATTTTTCAAGAGCTTTCCATATATTTCTTCTCTTTTTGATACCTCTTCCCTACCAGGCATTATGGCCATCATTATCCCCATTTGACTTATGAGGACACTGAAGTTCAGAGAGGTTAAAAAAACTTGTCAAGATCATAAAGCTCATAAACTTCAGAAACACATAGAACCTTGGTGTTCAGATTGGCTTTTACATGCTCCTTCAGCAGAGGATTGGGAAAAGTCAATTGGATAAGTTGTTAGAAAGTCTGGCTTTAGTTTCAGCTTCAGCACCTACTAGAAATATGACCTTGAAATCCAGTTTTAATCTTTCAACTCCATGACTTCATAAGTAAAGTTTTAAAAAATTTAGGCAAATATTTATTTGAAGGAACTTAAAGAAATTGTGAAAAATCATGTAACACTAAAGCCCACATTTGTAATTAAATTTTAAATTTCCCCAAATTTTATGGCTTTTTGAAAATGTGGTTCATAATTAGTGCTTTGGAGTTTGTTGACAAGTTATATCAGGCCTGGATCTGTTTGCCTTAACATCCATTCTTGGCCATCTCCCTGATCTGCTCCATATCACAGAGCAGCCCGTTTCCCAGACAACCCTATTAACAGGCTTCCAGCTGGTTTCAGCCAAAGGGAGAAACTGGTTTCAGAGACTGAACAGAGGGAGGAAAGCAGAAGCCAAAGGATTACTCTGCCTGCCTTTTCTACTCTCAGAGTGGTCTCCAGAAGCATCTGCATCTTCTCCTTTGCTCTAACTTTTCTTGACAGTTCTACTATGGTTCCAACAATTTCTGGGTAAACTCAGCCCACACAATGTGGTACAGACTTGCTTTTTTCTAATGTCCCTCTGACCCAAGCATGGCAGTGACTTTTGCTGTTGTTAACCCCTGTATTCCTTCATGGCCCCATTTGGCTTCTCAGCCTGTGTAACCATTTCCTGCATTAATGACACCTAAAATCCTCAATGTCTGGATGCCTGGGTGGCTGAGGGTCATGATCCTGGAGTAACAAGGAGTCTGCTTCTCCCTCTGACCTTCTCCTCTCTCTTGCTCTCTCTCTCTCACAAATAAATGAATAAAATATTTAAATGCTCAATGTCTGTTTCCTTGTTAGACTGATATTCATGTGTTCACTGAATTCACATATCCAATATTAGTACTTCTAAACATCTACAAAAGTGCTACTCTCAAATCAGAAATTTGATGAAATATGCATATTTTATGTTTTCTGTGCTACTAGAATACTTAGTAGGCTGAAAGCTTTAACAGATCAATGATGAAGATAAAAAAATTTCAGAAGACAAGTCTTAAAAAGAGACTCTTTATAATGCATGCTATTTCTAGCTGTCATTCACTGATTGCTTTAACCTTGCGTTTATCTTTCCACTGTTCCAGTTACTGATTCAAAATTAGGGGTATAGGAAAACAAAAACATGAAGTCAAAGTCAAATCTTTTTCTCAGGAGGTCTTAGGAGTGTTACAATTAGGAAAAGTACATTTAAATAAGAACAGGAGGGGCACCTGAATGGCTCAGTGGGGAAAGCTTCTGCCTTCCGCTCAGGTTGTGATCCCAGAGTTCCGGGATCAGCCAGAATCAGACTCCCTGCTTAGCGGGGAGTCCACTTCTCCCTCGGCCTCTCCCTCTGGCAGCTGCACCCTCTCTCTCTCTCTCTCATTCACTCTATCTCTTTCTCTCAAATAAATAAATAAAATCTTAAAAAAAAAAAAAAGGACACTGCAGAGAAACACTCAGCAATCCTTATTTCACCTACTAAAAACATAAAAGTACATAGTGTTTCTAAAATCTGACACTCTTGCATTTGCTTTAAGAATGCCTAAAACCCCTTCCAACTATTTGCCACCTATAGCCTCTAAAATTTGTTGCAGCAGACACAACTTTTAAAATTAGATTTCTTTGACATATTTGGTCCATGTTGTACAAAAAACTTAAAACACATTGGTGAAAGATGTAGACACATTTTTATAGCTTAAAAAAATCAATGTTGTAGCCTTTGAGCCCAGGGTAAGACCAATTAAGTAGACTATAAAAGTGGAAAATAAAGCTACTATTTTTCACTAGACACTTCCAATATTTAAAGAACATCCTGATTTTTTGTAAGTTCACTCATTGACTCCACTTCTATCCTCAGGCCAAAAATGAAGGAAAAATAAAGTCTTAAAAGAACAAAAAGATTTAAAGTTGTGTCTTTTTCAATAGAGAGATTTCTAGGTGATTCTAATGTATTTTGCTGGGCAATAAGCCATATGAAATCAATATTTAAGGTGGATGATGATTTATGCAGAACGCTAATGAATTAAAAATAGCAAAAATAATAAATTCATTAACGAATAAGAAACTAGAGGTTTCCTATATGGTCTATTGTGATGATCCAAAATAATAAGGCTCTAAATCGGCACCTTGAAATGCATGAAAACCCTTTGGGCAGATGGTCCATTTTTAAATATAAGCAACAATAAGTAGTGGAAAACTTAAATGTTGGTTACATATGTATATACATTTGTCAAAATTCACTGAGATGTACATAAGATCTGTGTACTTATTATACCTCCTCAAAGGTAAAAGAACAGTTAAGTGTATAAGGAACTGTTAACATAAATAAAAAGAAAAAAACCCATCTACCTAAGATGTAATTCCTCATCTATCAAGTTAGAAAACCTCAGATGTGTCACAAAATACCCTGTGAGGCTATAGGGAAACATATTCTTTCCTGTTGCTGGTGGGAATGCAAAATGGGGCAGCCTCCCACAGAAAGGAATCTGGAGGTGTGTAGTGAAATTTCTAATGGATTTACCCCCCGACCTAGTAAATTTGCTTACAGAAATCTATCTGAAGACTATACTGACAAAAGTATAAAAAGACAAATAAACAACAAACTATTCACTGCAGCACTATTTGTGATGGAAAAAGACTGCAGTACAAAAATTCTATCAATAAGTGATCCTGCCAAAATAATTGAACCGGAATCTCATCAAATCTGCAGATATAACTACCAATTTACTGGAAATACAAGAGACAGAAAAACATGTTAAGTGACACCACCAGGATGTAATCAGCAAAATCCAGACTATAAGAAAATATAAAAGACAAACAATATAATTTCTTCAAAAAATAAATTACAAAAATACAAGAGGATAGAGGAGGAGACCTAAAAAATAAAAATCAACTGTAATATACAGATCCTACTTAGATACTGATTTGAACAAACTCTAAGTAAAAAGAATTGAAGACAATCATGGAAATTTAACATTGGATATTTGAAATTAAGAAATTATTAGTATCCTAATGGTAATGGTATTATAAGGTTTGGGGTGGGGCTGTTTAGCCCTCATCTTTTAGAGATACATGCTGAAATATTTATGGTTAAATATTATGATGCCTGAGATTTACTTCAAAACAACCCGGCAGAGGGGAAAGTTGTAGTAAGGACTACAGAGAAAACAATAGCCAAGAGTTGATCATAGTTGAAGCTGGATAAATTACAAAGAGATTATTAATCATTCACTCTCATTTTGCATGTGCTTACAATTTCTGATAATGTTTTTTAAAAAAGAATTAGTAGACAAATAGTTAGATAATAAGAAATATTTATTCTTGCTAAGCAAAACTATTCAAATAAAAATAATTATAAAGATCTCTTTTATACTTAACCTAAATTATATGTGAACAGTTAACATATAATATACCAAAAATTGGTCTCTGTTTCCAGCCCAAATCTACTTTTTGACTTCAGGTTCAATCTCAGCCTGTGAAAGACTAGATCACTCTATGTTCACATCAGTGTCTTATCTGGCAGTCCACAACTTGTGCATGATCAATGACATAGACACATCTGATCAATATACCAATACGAGTAACAGAAACAAGGCAAGTCTTCTGAATTTACTGCTAATTAACAATAATTATCAAATATAACTAAGTACTCTAGATCCAACTTGATGCAAATACATCCTTAGTGTTCAGTTTAAGTATATTTACATTTAATATTGCCAGAGTATACTACTATAGTAATTAACAATGATTGTTAAAGCTGTTAATTTCACGAGCAAGAAAAGAACATATTTAGTTAGGTAAAAAGGAGGAAATGAACTGATATTTAACAAAAATATTGAAAGAATGTGGTAATTATGTAATATGAGGAAGAAAAATATTCTTCTTGAGCCAAGGCATATTTTATATAAATGTAAATAACAATATAAGAAAGAGTAACAGAGATAACATTATAATAATAATCCCAGTTGGTATAGACTGGTTCGTATATATATTAGCATTCGTAACATTAAACAAAATAAACTTTAAGAATTATACTTAATTTCTAGTTATCTAATTCCATTTAAGCCATGAATCTTTCAAGGAAAAGTCTTCTTTAGGAATTGTTCACATTTTGTAAGAGTCAATTAAAAGCAAAATATCAACTTGTTATCTCTAAATTAAAAGAGAAGGAAAGACCAAAAATCACATGAAACAACATTCTCAGTACATCTTTCTTAATCCAGCTGTACTAAAAAAATGAAAACTATAAAAGGAAAGAAGAAAGTATTAGAAAATGATGAGGTATCCAGGATATGCTTTGTTCTCACTAACTGAAATTCAAAACAACAGATACTATAAAAATGCTCTAACAGGACAATTCCTTATCATTATGAATCTATGAAGACTAAAAATGGAAGCAAGAAGCTTATCAAAATGATTGCTACAGACTGTGGACCATTTTCAGTAGCTGAAGACAAGGGATTTTTGAGATTTGTCAAGCTATAAATCCCAGGTACAGTTATTTCCAGAAAATATGTAACTAAAAATCTTCTTCCTGAATTATATTCTGTGAACAAAAAGGTTATTGATGTTATTTAAAATAACATCTGTTGAAAGTGATCATCTGTTTAATCTCACAAATGTGTAACACAGTGACCAGAGAAGCAATCTACAGCTGACCGGGCTGAGAAATTACTGCCCTTGCACTTAATATAAAAAACTGAAAGCCACATCAATGATTAAAATTTTCAAACATGTTTATTCTTTAATAGTGATTCTATTATGAAAGAGAAATTCCCCATGGCCAAGCAATGAGTTATGACACTCAACCATTCTACATTCAGCCAAAAAAATTGTTTTGGAACATGATGGATGGACAAACAGAGACAAACAGATATATAGATAATATTTAAGATGTATGTGTGTATATATATGAATATATATGCACATATTCCAATACTGAAAGGGTGTAGAGGAAGTACCTGTGGTGGTATCTTTATTAGAACAACACTTTGGAAAAGAACTTTTTAAAAAACATCCAAATTTTTTTTCCTTGAACACTCCAATCATGGGAATTTATCCTATGAGGGTAAAAGATTCTAAAACATGAAAATTGTCTCTGCATGAAGATATTTACCAAAGTATGATTTGTAATATTGTAAAATTGGATACAATCCAAATATCCAAAAATCGAGACGTGATAAGGCATATTATCTTTTTCTATTTGAAGTACTCATCACTCCTGTTTTGGCTTAATTTTTATTGGCCTTGACATCCCAATTCCAATGTCATTGCCTCAAAAAGGGCTTTCCACTGAACTACGATCAAGTGCTGTTAGTATACACTAGACAGCATGTTTTTATTATTTGAAAACACTCACTTTCCTCCTTCTCTCCTATAAACAGTGCATGCCATGAGGGTAAGGGATGTATTTTGCTCATTATTGTATTATTGAGCCACATAATAAATATTTATTTATGAGAGCAATTAAATATTCTATAATAAATATTAAAAAGATTATGTGGCAAAGTGTTGGGGGAAAGTATACAGGATTTCATGTCTATGTTTATCATGGGAGAAAATAAAATATATATGTATATATTTATGTCTATATATGTATGAATATATGTGATGTATATACAATGGGTCAGAATAGAAGTCAGAAATATGAAAATAGTTTTATTAGGATGATGGTTATATAATGGTTATAATGGTTTATATGGTTATATAAGTGATTTTCCCATAAAATTTCTTTCAATGTCCTGAGAACATCAAATTCTTTTAAAGTTACATCTGAACTGAAAAAATAAGGCCCTTTCTAAGAAGTCTGCTTAGTTTGAGGGGATATATCTCATGGGTAGATAGTCATTTCTTTAAAATAGGTACAAAATGTGCTTTGGAATCATAATGTTTGCCATTTAAATAAGACATTAACCATAAAAAGCCATGTAAAACTCTCTCCCTCTGTCAAATAAATAAATAAAATCTTAAAAAAAAAAAGCCATGTAAAACTAATGTAACACAAAAAATATTAAATGCAAATGAAAACTTTTAATTGCTTAATATGTCACTTTGCCAAATCAGATTTTTAATGTAACAAAGCAATGAACATGTTGCTTGTAATGTACTTTATTATTTGCACAAGAGAGAAACATACTGTAAGAGTAATCCTAAACCACACTTGATCCTAAAATACTGTACAATCATTTGTACAAAAAGCTTTTGAAAAATCTAGTCCAGGTTCACCTTTTCTGAGATGAGGGCAAAAAAGGGAATTGTAGAAAAGAGAGGCACTTGAGGGCATATTTGTATCATGTTGCAAAAGGAGCCTTAAATCAGATGGTAATCCATGGCTGGCACTTATTTGCAGTTCTTATTTTTCAGAGTAAGTTAGAAATTGTTAAAAGCTAATAAAATAGCTAGCTTTCTAAAAGTAAAGACCTCAGGGATGTTATGAACATTAACTGAGGAATGCATGTAAACTATATAGCAAAGAGTCTGAGAGCATTCAATAAACGTCAGCGGCTCTTCACTATTATTAATAGTTGGAAGATTCTAAAAACTATTTAGAATGTCATTAATATTCACATTTACATTATAAATATCATTTTACTTCCAGGAAACTCAATTTTCCAAAACTAGAAAACACACATACACACATACACACTTCTAACCTTTAGCTCTGTAGAGGCAGAAGCTAATTTTTTTGCTTCCGTTAATGCATGCAACTGTTGATAGTCTACTGGTTTATACTTGATGTTTCTCATTCCATTTTTCATATGGAACACCAGATTATCTGTTTTTCATTAAAACAAAAGATGACAAAAAAATAATATCACATTATTGGAAGTCTCAAAATAGCTACGGCAACATGTCGACTGTTGTCTTATTTTTAAGTATTTTTAAGCAAAAACAAGAAATGATATTATAACATTCATAGTATAGTTGGACCTCTATGTTTAGAAACTTTAAAAATGATTACCACTATATACTTTGCATAAAATTACTTCTAAAAGAACATAAAGGGAATACTTCCATTTAAATAAGTTTATTGAGAATTTTAGAAAATTGTCAAATTTTCTTCAAATTGTCAAAATTGTCAAAGTGTAACGTCTTTTTATTTTAAAAAGTTTTAGGCATCAACTGTGAATATTTAAGTATCATTATAAATAAAATTAAGTAGATTTTTAAAGTCATAGCTGCATTTCTAATAGAAAAAAATTGAAATAATTTCAAGTAAATTTGAAAAAAGGTTGAAACTTAAAGCCAAAAAATTTAATGGGCCAAGTAAGAATAAAATGATGTAAAATGGTCAGGTAGGCATTCTCCATCCAAATACATAAAATATCCTAGTTTAGTATGATGTTCGCTTTTCTGATAAAGTAAAACGTAAGTAGAAGGTACTCAAAGGCCTCGTAGCATAAAGTATAATAATCTGAGTAATTCAAGGGCAAAATGCATTTTTGCCCCAATTATATAAATAATTAATCTGTACCATACAAAGTAATTGAGATTAAGTATATCATGAGTCACATGACTTTTAAGTAGACTCCAAATGATTTAAGGACAAACACAATAAAGGAGATTATTGTTATCTTGACCACTGTTGAAGATTAAAGTATACATTGTAGAGTATGCATTGTAAGAGAACTGGAGAAACCTTCAGTATGACCAAACAATGAGCTTTCCATTAAAATTTTGAAAATCAACATTCCAACTTCACATCATCCATAATCCACTATAAATCATAGGACAGATCTGGAAGTAGAAAAAATACCTGAGCTATCGTTTTTCTGAATTGTCATGAATGGTTGATCTCTTTTATTCAAGTCCTCCATATCTGTGGAAGAAACAAGAAGACAGCTAAGATTTCACAATGTTACTTCCCAAGTGTTTTTAAAGATGCGTTAATCGTAGTTTTCTTTCTTTCTTTCTTTTTCTTTCTTTCTTTCTTTCTTTCTTTCTTTCTTTCTTTCTTTCTTTCTTTCTTTCTTTTTCTTTCTTTCTTCCTTTCTTTCTTTTAAAAACAAGGCCCATGGCTGGATGCCATAACTCTTTGTATTTACTAAAATTTTCTTCTCCAAGTTCTAGAGTTTTCTTCCTTCCATTAGTTTTTTCCCCTCCATGCCTTTCCTGTTCTTGGTGTCTCCTTCCAACCTCTGATGTTTTAATCCCCCTCTCTTGGATTGCCTTAGTGACTGATAAATATTTTGTGATAAAAATTGTGTAAACTTTATCCTGAGTCCCTAGGAGGAAAAAACTACATAAATTAAAAAATAAAGCAGCAGGGGCACCTGGGTGGCTCAGTTGGTTAAGAGACTGCCTTCAGCTCCGGTCACGATCCCAGGGTCCTGGGATCAAGCCCCACATCGGGCTCCCTACTCAGTGGGGAGCCTGCGTCTCCCTCTCCCTCTGCTGCTCTGCCTGCTTATGGTCTCTCACTCTTTCTGTCAAATAAATAAATAAAATCTTTAAATATTTATATATATATATTTATATATATATAAATTTTAAAAAAAGCAGCAGGCCAAGTGACTCACTGCTCGGATGTGCCATCCACTTCTAGAAAGCATTCGATGCCCAGCTGTCCCTTCTTTCTGAGAGTTGGACTCAGTTTCAGAGAGTAACCTCGTCCAGAGATATACAAATGCTGGGGCATCCTACACCCAAAGACTGAGCAAGGCAGGATTATAAAGTCTGACCAGTTTGGATCCAATGTGAGTCATCCTGATGAGCAATATTTCATCCAGAGTTCCCTGCAGGGTTGACCCACACTTTGCTGGACCTGCAGTGAAACTGACTTTTTCATCTGCCCAATCCTGCTTCCTCCTTCTTCCTTTCACAGATATGGATCCCTAATGAATATCTAGCACCCAACCTCTGCCTCAGCATCTCCTTCCTGAGAACTCAACCTGCAGTAGCACCAAACTAAACTGGCATCGTTTTAGGGCACCTCCAGGGCAACAGACTAGTCAAATGGTGTAACAGTACCATTTTTCATAAATTTTTATTCCATATCCACTAGGTTCAACTACTCATGTCTGGTGGCTTTTGAGGTAATCTAAGTCTTCTTAAATGAAAGAGAAAGTAGCACAAGTACATGATTTTTGGAAACTCTTCCAAGTTACTAAGAATCATGGTGATTGCCCACCAGCTTTCAGAATACAGCGATTAACTCCAGTGCATAGATCAGGGAACTCTTGTTTTAAGCCTTCGGTAACACTGACATTCCTCCCTATAGTCTGGTTTCTACTCACATCTACATCCTATCCATTAGGATTCTTCTTTTGGGGGGAAGATTTTCACCTGTCAGTCTGCACTGCCTTAAGCCACCATCAATTCCTGCCAGATGACAGCAGCAGTTCTACTTTGTACCCTTAGAGACCATTCTTCACCTTCTAAGCAACCTCTTTAAAAATTCTAGTCTGACCTTGCTGAATCCTTTCAACAGCTTCCATTATCCTTTACAATAGTGCCCTAAATGGCCCATAAAGCCCTGCATAACCTTGCCCTTGTTCATCTCTCCATTCTGATCTCATTCACACATTCCAACCACACTCTCTTTCTACTTCTCAAATATACCAAGTTCATTTTGCCTTAAGGCCTTCCCACATGCTGTCCTCTTTACCTTAAAGATATTTCCTTCCTCTTTTTTTTAAATTTTTTTTATTTATTTGACAGAGAAATAGAGAGCACAAGTACAGCAGCAGGCAGAGGCAGAGGGAGAAGCATTCCCTGCTTAGCAGGGAGCCTGATGCGGGGCTCGATCCCCAGACCTTGGGATCATGATCTGAGCGGAAGGCAGCTGCTTAACCGGCTGAGCCACCCAGGCACCCCTATTTCCTTCCTCTTTTTACCTGGCTGGTTCCTACTCAGCTTTCAGCTAAACCTCAGAGACTTAACCAGACTTCTCCATCTAAATAAGAGAGAACGCTTTGTTTTTCTCTCTCATCACATTCCTTCTTTTCTATGATAATTTGTATTAGTCTTCGCAACCCCATGTTTACTGATTCAATGTCTTCTTCCTCCATAGATCTGTGGTCTATGTGTGTCTTCTGATTGCATCCCCAGTGCTCAGCACAGGTAGTAAATGTTCAATAAATACTATTTGAGAAAATGAGTAAAAGGTAGCTGGTGGTAGCTCAATGTCTTCTAACCCCCGGAAGGGCTGCAATACCAATTCCTTAGTCCATACTATAGCCTCCCTCTCCAACAATAAATTTCCACTTTTCAAAAGGCTGCCTTAGTAGTGTAGCCTACAGGCAGAAATGGCACATTTACATGCCTTCAGAGGCCATCACGTCAATGAGAGAGTGACAAGGTACACAACCACAGGGAGTGCAGAAAACATAGAACTCTAAAGAGCATTCCGTGCCCAAAGATAATCAAATACATTTTTTTTCTTTTAATTAACAAAGGTATGCCACAGATAAAGCAAGTATCCAAAACAAATGGATGTTGCATTTAGCAAGCCGTCTGTGAACTCTAGCTAACTGAATCTTGCCTTTTGTTTTCTCCGACTCCCACCAGGAACTTGACATGAGCTTGCTATCTCCATCTTGGAGAGATCTCACCAGTTTTCTAATTGATTAGCTTTAGGTTTTTCCTCAGTGGGGAGCCCAGCCCCTCAGATTTAGGACTCATTTTCGGGAGATTTAGATTGCGTGACTGAGGCCCTGAAACAAAGTGGGGTTTTGCAGACTCCCTTTAGGTTACCTTGGTTGAACGTTGCTTAGATTTTCAGGTTTCCAGAGGAAAGTCATGAAGTCCACAGAATATTTCTTACCATTTCTGCATGGTGCAAATATTAATTATGACTGTAAGACACTCACAGTAGAATACATTCTGAAAATCAAAATTGCAAACAAAAACTACTCTGTCTTCATGAACCTGAAATCTAGTTTGGTTGCAACTATACAGAAGACCTTCCAAGTAAAAACACTTCTTGACCTACATTCTTTAATATTTGTATATAAAGCATAAACAGTTACCATTTACATTCCAGGGATATTGAGGATCTCTGAACTAAATAATTGTTAAACTGAAATAATATAAGAATGACATTCGTAGTGTTTCTTATATCAAAGAATTAAGTAGGCATTATATTTGGAATCTGAAAAGTTCACATATAATTCACTTAGTCTAACTTCTCATTTTAGCTTATGAGATGATTGCAGCCCAGAAAAATGACCAAGATCACAGAGAACTTCAAGTCCAAAATCTCATTTTCATAATACAAAAATCTCTGAAAATAAAGGTGTATATCATAATCAAGATGGTGTCCAAATCCAATCTGAGCTGAAATCACTTGGTGGCAAACTTGACCCAAACCTAAGTTTATTTTATTGAATGTAAACATTCATACATTTGTCTAAAAGTGTTAATGTGCTTTATTATAGGGCACTGCCTAGATACCATCAGTTTTAAGTAATATAGGGCATATGCTCTATATTACATTTGCTCTATAGTACATTTCTAAAAATCTGAAAAACCAAAACTACATCTGGCACCACAGACTTCAGATAAGAGAGTATGAAACTGTACTAAAACAAACAGTCCTTGATTCCCAAACAAGCATATGTCATCTGGCCATTTCAATTTTATGCTTACCAGTGAAATTCAAAGTGGCTACTTCAGCCTGCAGTTAAAATGCTTTTGACTGAGTAACAGCTACTTGAACAGAATTTTCCATGTTAAACAATTTTAAAGCACTTAGTTTTAGAAATTAATTCCAAGTTCACATTATGTGACATTTTAGAAATTGCTTATGAGGATGATCAAAATGTTAAACCTTTTAGATTTACTCAATTACTGAAAATATTTTAAAATAATATATTTTTATGAGAAGTTTCTTATAGGAAGAAGGTTATAATATATAATGTAACGATAGCTTCACAGTAGCTAGAGGATTGAATAAAGATTTTAATATAAAGTTAATTTTTACAGATTTGATAGAGAATCTAAACTTAAAAAGCTACATGACCTCAACTGGTCTCTATGGGGTAGGTGAGCAAGAAGGACTTCTCTAGAGATGAGAAAAAAATAGCAAAGAGATCATTTATATAACAAGGCAATCTTTTTACAGTATTAAAATTTGTATTCTTCTCTTTCCTAAGAAAATTTCTTTTAATACTCCAAGGAAGAAAATCTCAGTTGTACTTAGGCTTAAAATTATACAACGCATGGATAGTCTGTTAACTCTAAACTGCCTAACTGTATAGATATGTAGATTAGCCAATCACCCCATGAAGGTAAGTTTTCAAAAGTGGTAGGGATTCTGCCAGGCCAAATAGTGTGAGAACAATGCAAATATGAAAAAAAAATACCTTGGATGTAGCATCATATTATAGCCTTTTTTCATATGAAAGATCTCATTTCAAATGTGAGTTCAAATACTATGGCCAAAGTCTGGTTTAAGCAATAGTTTTCTAACATGCAAAATTCTCTTTTAAATTATAAGCAGAACAGTGCATATTACTTCCATTATGAAACATTATACATTGTAGTCAGCATGAGATAAAAATATTGTCCTGGAAAATGAATGGAAGCAAAAGTGAAACTATTAAAGTTAACAAAAATAGTTAAATAAAGTCTTCAGTTACATAATAAATAATAATTTCAAACATAATGCAGAAGGCTCTCAGTCAAAGGAGCAAATACAACAGAACAAACAAAAACAAAATACCTAGGAATAAACTATACAAGAATTGTATAGGACTCATACCCTAAAAAACCACAAAAGTTCATTAAAGGAAACAAAACTTAATTCTGATTCTGTGGGTCAAATACTTAATAGTGGCAATTTGGGGATAGTAGGATTATAGTTGATTTTGATTTCTTCTTT